CCCCAAAACCCCAAAACCCCAAAACCCCACTAGTCCAAACTAATAATACTTTTAGTTATATTAGGTTATGAATTAATTCATAGTTTCAAAAGTAAAATTATATCAATAGTTCAGGCTCAAATTTACAGTATCCCAAATATAAAAATATATGAAAGAGATATTTCACATAATTGATCAATCTATATCGTTATCAAGCAAAATTTGAGGGATAGGTCTTCTCAAATATTCGTATTCTACTACATCAGAGCTTTTGATAGTCTATTCTGAATAAATTTGAGATGGATATTTCTGGCAAATTGATTTGCAATTTCTTTTACATCCAAAGTCGAAGGGGTTCTGTCCCCACTTCTAATATTTGCCTCTCACTTCTTCATTAGTAGTCTTTCCTGTCCCTATCAACCACCAGTGATAAGCAGCGAAAGGCAAGAGCATAATGGCTATAAAAGCCCCATAAATCATGATAACCCAGCAGGGCACATTGATGTAAAAATCTTAGACTGTGGTGTGATAATCATTTAATACTGAGATGAGTCCAGTGATGAATGTAAAGATAGCATGAAAACTTGTCCACTGTAAAAACAAGACAAAATATCTGTGGTTTCTTTTGCCTATGCAAGTTCCAACCCATGGGCAGTGGTGATCTAAAAGTGATTTAAAATCCTAAGCACATATATTTTCTAATATCATACCATGAACTTCAACACAGATATTGCATCGAGAACAGTGAAATGCTCTAGGTGGTCTAATTATGTTACAAGATCTGCAATGATTAACAACAATCTCAACTCCTCTGACAACAACATCTATAGATCCAAATAAGTATCACATTTTTGAATTAAGTTTACTTACAGTTTTCAAACAGTTCGTCCTTATCTCCTCCAGTATTTTTTGCTGGTGATTAGTTCTAGTTTTCATTCTCAACGTTTTCCTTATTGCTTTATATATTATTCTCAATATCAATTGCTATATGGTTGGTGTCCTTTTTATCTTATAGTATCCGAGATGATGAGTTTTTATTCGGAATTGGGGAAGCTTATTATTCTATTGCATGATCAGTTAAGCTGTTTTGATTCTAATTATATGCCTAGACGTTATTTTATATATGTGCTTCGTCGATTACCTAATTTTGATGCCTTGGAGGATACAGAAGATAGGGCTCCTTACTAGCCTTTCTATCTCCCTGCTTGTTATCTTTAGTATTAGCGGGAACAATGCCAGGATCACTACAAGATGTGAGATATAAAAGGGAGAGAGAAAGTATCATTGAGATCAGATAGAATATATCGACAATAATTTATGCAGCCAGTGATGGAAATGAAGTGTGACTAAAGCATTATATAATTTCCAGTAAATTATCTTACGTGTAAACACAGTGAATTATACTTGGGCCTAATATAATTAGACCTGTAAATAGAGCAAATGGAAAGTCAGGTGAAGCAAGTCCTACTCCACAGCAAATTGACTTGTACTTTCCGATTAGTTTACCTTTGAGTTAATTGGACATTAAATTCTAACTAAGTATTGTTAGCTTTTACTCTAATAACTTTATAATTAATTTAATAATTTAAATATGTAAGCCTCTGAACATCGTCAAGTCACTGGAGTTAACACCAATCCAAAGGCCCAATTATCAAAGGCTGAATAGGAAGTATGAATAGATAAAGTTTATAATTGAGATTTATAGAGAGAAGATCTCCTACTTAGAGTCTTTAAGTTAAAACAAAGAATTCAGGTACTTTGAATGCCAACTTAATATGATGTATTTTAGGAATAACAAGAGAAATAGAATAGTCTTGTATCAAAGAATGCAGAGCTAAGAACACTTTACAAGAATGAAACAGTACGAACTATTCATCATTAATACTCAATCTATATTTTAGCAAAGAGAATTCAAGATGCACAGTACTAAGTCATATTTACCAAAAATTTTCTTGGACAAGCATGAGACTGAAGAAAAAGTAAACACGATGAGGGAAAGAATGAGACACTCCATAAACGCGGGAGATGTCAATAAACTAAAGGCATACGTGGCAGAAGTTGAGGGTGATGAAGCATTGAAGGAGCTAATGAAGCAAGAATTGAATTTCTGCAATCAAAGAATCGAGATTATCACACTATAGGATCAGCAAGCTTAGTGAAATACAAACTCATGAATGAAATTGGTTGATCCATTTTCAAAGTAATTGAAAGATATATATTTGAGAATCAAATTGTAAAACAAATAAAGATTAACCGAAATCTATTTTTCACAGATTAAGAATTCAAATATCATCAGGGGTTTTGGGGTTTTGGGGTTTTGGGGTTTTGGGG